TTTCCAACAATATTCATTTGAATAGCATCTTAAAATCGTATTTGATAAATAGTAGTCCAAAAAGTGAGGTTATTAATCATCTATACCTCTATGACTTGCCTATGGTTGCATAGTGCTGTTCGATAAAAAAAAAACACACGGTTCAATCAATTAAAGTTTAGTAATCGATTATTAAATCGAACATTTCAATCGCAATCGAACGAATATCTAAGATTTGAAGAAGGATTTAAATTGAAATTTTAAATATGTTGATATAGGTTATGTAAGGAAAACCGCTAGTATGACTCAATTGAACAAATTGATTCATTCAATTAATTAATCGATTTGTGGTTGGCGTTACAATTGGTCATCACCAAACCGTCTATTTTGACAAATCGGATTTCGAACGTGTTCGATCTATAGTAGCGATCCTCCAATTTTGACCGATTGTACTGTGTAATCGTATAAAAACGGAAGTTATTTTTAAGTGATAGCGACTGTGATCTTGAACAATTTGTTCAGTTATCGAACTGGGATAGTAGCGACAGCGACCAAGAGCATCTTGTGTCCTCAAGAACGTTTAGGCGTATAAACTTCATGGCAAGTTTAACTGACGCTGAATTTACATTCAAATTTGGGCTGAACAAAACATCAGTTGAATTTGTTTTAAATGAAATAATGCAATTTATCAAAACGGTATTTTTATAATTAAGATTATTTTATCACGTCACGAATACGAACAAACTTCAACAAAACATAAATTGACACTAACATTTCGCCGCCGCCCCGCGCGCCTTCCCTTTATTTTTTTTCCATCCTATATGGCCGTCCCGCTCGTTTGACAATAAACGTTCCGTTCTGTTCCTCCAAACACGTCATTCTTGACGTACTTACGGTTTAAATATTTTATACTTGAAAGTTTGCAATTAATTTATATTTTTGCCAAAAGCACATGTAATATCACATAAATTTATCTTAGAAACATAACCACCATTTTATTCACTAATTCATGTAATGAACTTTTACTCCGATTGCGTGGAATAAACGTCAGAGAGGGAGTAAATTTACGACCGATCCTTTTTTTTAAGGGCGCTAGATCCAAGATAGACATATTGAAATACAGATCCGGCAGCGATCGATGGATCGAATAAAATCTGGATAGAAAACAATCTTAGATTCAGGATCAAATATAGAAATCGGCCGTATATCGCTTGCATGCAACAGCTCTGTTCGACCTTCACTAGATTGTCGTGCTACACATTCGGAGGGCTATCGTGCGCTACGTTTACAGTACAGGTATTTAATGTTTCGATGTGAAACATTATCTTTAACACGAAAAAGTGAGTTAATAAACTCGTCAGAGCAAGTAATCGAAAGACAAACCTCCTTGTCTCCTTGCTTGCATTTATAAATTTTATAATTTTTAAATATCGAGTTCTTAGGTTTTCGCGATTGTTACACATAGGAAATGAAACTATTTTTCTGGATTGAAATAGCGTATATTTGTTTTTTCAAACAAAATTCCAATTAAATTTTTAAATACTTTGTAATTCGAACGTCGAATTCGAATGATCAGCTTAGGTAAAAGGGGTGTTGACAACGCAAATCATTTTTATATGCCATTTTTGCTTAGTCGGTTTGTTAATGAAAATTTAAGGCAATACGATAAAAAACGCCTTGAAATGGAAAAATAGCAAAATCAACTATGAAAATAATTGCTCCTTAAGTAAAATTTAGGCACTATTTATAAAAATGAATCTTCATGCGTGAACAGCCATCCTTAGAGGTGGATGATTTTCTTCAAAATTAAATGAGACCACTATGGAAGTACCCCCTTTCCAACAAAAAAGAATCATGAAAATCGATTCACAAATACCCGAGTTATCGCGTAGCATACATACAAAAAAGAAAAATAATATACAGTCGAATAAGAACCTCCTCCTTTTTTCAAGTCGGTTAAAAAATGAGTGAAAGAGATATGGGGGAATAATTTTTCAGTATTCAAGGTTACACACTTACTGTACTCGTATATACGGCTGTTGCTCCCACTGTAATAAAAACATAAAGCATGAGTTTCACGTACTCCGTGCAGTTTATGTACAAACACGTACCATAAATGTAATTTTATTGTTGTACGTGAACATACTATGCAATGCACTCGATAGGAAAAGTTTAGAACATCTAAGTGTTGGTCGTTACCACTTGTGAAGAGCCAAGGCGCTTCTTTTGGATGTGTAAACTTCTTTACAACTTTCAAATGACGTAAAAGTGACGCATAAATGAACGTGGAGTTGAGAGCTGTGGTTGCATGGGAATTAGCTAGGCTGGTTGCCAAACAGCAACCCGGGCTCGGAGGTCGGCCGGCTCGCATGATTCTCGCTTTTCATCAATCTAGGCTTTCGTGCTCGCTCATAACTCTAAAATTTTATGGAAATTTAAACGTCGCTTTTACAGTTGCTCAGTCAGGTGTGCCTTCCACGAATCCATTTTAAACTTGAAACGAATTCACTGCATCCTCCCTGTTTGTTTATAAAATGACTTGAGTTTATGAGAGGCTATAATTTTACTTCAATTGCTGTCTGGCTATGTGGCGTCTTTTAGTGACGCAGCGGTCCAATTGGCTTTCTACGGTTCGCGATGCTTAATATAAAAAAAACGTATAAAATAAAAATGAACGTCGTTAGTGTACCGCCTCTAGACAAGAGCTTGTTTGCTTTAATAAAAACCTATAATGTCTATACATATATTAATAGTTTATAAAATGTTCATTATCTTTGCACAGTGTACTAAAAAAACCGATCACTTAATGCGTGGAATTTCATCTATTTGCCAAATTTTATTGAAATCGTTTAGGTTGCCACCATTAGAAATGAAATATTTTTTTCAAATTAAAAGGGGGCCACTAATGAAGAACCCTCTTTCTAACAAAAAATAATCATCAAAATCGGTTCACAGTTATCGCGTAACATATATATAAAAAAATACAGTCTAGTTGAGAACGTCCTCCTTTTTTTGAATGCGGTTTATTAATGATTGAACATCTGTTCGCAGTTTGAAATGGGCTTTTCGATTTGAAAACGAACGGTTCAAACTAAAAAAAGTTGTAGGATAGATTAGCTAGGTTCGTTGGAGCAGTGGTGGCTGTGGGCGCGACGGGCCGACCATTTATTGAAAGTCGGGGGCTAGCGCGTGAAGCCATTAGTTCTTTCGGGCTGAAAAAGTGTCGTTTTCGCTGAAACATTGCGCTGGAGCGCGGGCACGCTATTCAATTGGCGAATGTATTTTATTCGAGGCCAATCGATCTCTAGACAACAAAACGCACGCCATGAATAGAGTGTCTCGCGAGGCGATAAATCAGCGGCGTCTTCGATACGTTTAATGAAAAGATCTTTCTGTTCTCGCCTTGTTTTATTACTATTGAACGAGCATTTGACTTGGCAAACATACATACGAATATACTAGAGGTGTATTGGATGTTGCGAGTTCTCTCGGCCATTCCGAAGTAAATAGGTATCTTTTGTCCGAATCGCTGTTGCACAAAGTTCCGTCTATTCGTGGACGTTCGATTTATAGTTCAGATGGTCCAGCTTGCGCAAGTTTTTATCGAAATAAACGATCGCTTTTACGTAATTGATTAGGAATAGCGATCTCGTTCTGAATTGTCGATCTCTTTGTCGAGATATCTGTGTGCTTAATCAAGAAGCTCATTTCTATAATAACTGCCTCCGTGGCCGAACGGTTACCATGCAGGACTACCACGCAGAGGTCCAAGGTTCGATTCCCGGGCCGGGAGAAATATTTGTATAGCTTACATTTATTTCTCTCGTGAGTTTGGGTGTAATTTGTGGTTGTCTATGTGTGTGTCCATGACACCCGCGACACAGGGTTTTCCTAGTGCGGGACTATGTTGAGTGTATGCGTTGTTATTATATTATTATTATAATAAAAACTCTCGAACGTTAGTCCGGGCTATGGTTTTAACAAAGTGTCCTTGAGGTAGACGAGAAATCTCTGCATCTAAAATGCCATTATTACCTACGTTATACAAGCCAAAGCAACCACTTCGATTCTGTTGTGCATAACTGGGTCTGTAAAGGTTCTAATAATAATAATACAAGCTATGGTAAATCGGTTTTTTGTGTAGTTAACGTCTCCGAACAAGATTTTTTTTAATGATACAAGTGAACGGACGAAAACGTGGTGCGCTTGGTGTTAAGCGACAAGCCTGTCCATAGCCAATCCCAAGTACCAGTAATTTCACTAGCACCCTTACCCTTCAAAACAGGAACGCAGTAACGCTCACATTACTGCTTGGCGGCAGAAATAGGTAAGGTGGTACTTCCCTGGATGAACTCTTTCACAAGGAGCTTCACTGCTACTAAACATTGGACAATACCTACTAAAAGAATAGCATTCAATAGTGCTTTCCTCTCCTTATATGTAATATTAAGTACTGTCTTCTCGGTCCTCACAAAACTCTACCCAGGAGGAAAGGGATGTAAATGATTGTACTTACTATACAACTGTTGTATAGTAGAATCATAAGCTTACCACCGTTTACCCATGTCAAGAAAATCTATTTGCCACAATTTGAGGTTTGTCGACATGAATTCTATCCCAGGCAGCAGCATCGCGGTGCCCACGCGTCACAAACTTTATTTTATTATGAGTCGACAATTCTTTGCTTTCTGGACACGTTCCGGCACAACTTTTGTCGTGTTTGGATATGTCCACGAGTGAATTCGACGACCGCCTTGACTGATGGAATTGTTGCCTTCCGAAAAGAAAGTATACGAAAAGTGTCCCTGGACGAACTCTTTCACAAGGAGCTCCATTGCTACTGACATAGACACATAATAATATGCACATTTCTACGACAATATCCAAAACTAGTTGAAATAATTGTCATACAAATACCTTAAATATTCATTTTCATAAACGCAACCACGAAATTGTAGCACATTGTCCTCATTTCGTATAACATTCTGCTGATTCAGTGAAACATCTTCTTATTGTTCCAGATACGGTCCATGGTCACTTAAGACGAGATGCGCAGTCAAGGGCTACACGTTTCTTAGATAAGTCGATTCGGCTACGACGGTTCGTGATAAAAAATTTCGTTTAAAAGCTTAAAAATGGAGAAGAATATACGACAGCTACGCCAGAGCCGTCACGAGGTCGTGACGTGACATGCCGCTAGTGCACCCGTACATCATGCCTTCGCAATTTGCCGCCATATTATTGTGGCTGGCTGGAAGTAAGTAGCTATTACTTTTAAGACTTACATTTAAAAAAAACTTTTAATTTTTTAATTTAAAAATATAATCAGAATTTTATGAATATCTTTTGTGCAAGGACCTAAAGCAAAGTTCCAGGGCGTGTAAAATTATATGCAACTACGCTATAATCACAAAGTGGTTTTTAGGCTATCGGTATCGAAATCTATTACCGGTGTATCGTAAATTTTACCATGCCTGCGCGACACGTCTAAAGCAGCTACCTTTTTCCGGCTTTTGTTTTAAATTGCCTATTCATTGGCACATACTTTTTACGACTAGCTTAATAACCCGTCATCAAGTTAGGGACTAGAAAGATTCTTGTACTACAAATAAGCAACATCATAATGGTAAAATACAGACTAACGTGATTTGATAATAAATAAATCTGAAAACACATTTGCGGTTACCGCCAGCGTACGATATATTATACATACGTGTGTGTGATAAGCTTATTTTATGAACATATTTCTTTACTTAGGTATATCAGTTTGTATAAGCATAAAACGAAACGCATAATTAAAAAAATAAACTTTTGCCTTTTCCTTATGGGAAAGAATTTAAAAACAACAACCATTGCAATACTGGTGAAGCAATTCTCGATCATTTGCTTCTAGATTGCCCTGAATTCATTGAGCAGAGATTGTTCGTATACGTGGTTCACTGAAGATTACTGCTATCTTTACTGTACAACGCGGAGACTTTTGAAGCTATGTACAACGATATTTATGTACTAGTGTATACACAGTATTGACACAATTCAAGAGATTAGAATGATTTAATATAATAAGATCATTGGAATGACATCATTTGCCGAAATACCTACTAAAGAAATAAATTCAAATCAGAAACTAAGTATTGAAAGAACATGGTTAAAAAAGTAATTTTTGAAGATTGGTATAATGAAATTATTCCGACGCCGTCAAACTAAGAACAAGCAAAAAAGCATAGGAAATGAAACTATTTTTCCGGATTTAAATCGCGTATATTTGTTTTTTCAAACAAACCGACGTTTCGGTTCCGAAGTCAACCGTGACCATGGGACCTGTAAAGGGCCCGAAACGTCGGTTTGTTTGAAAAAACAAATATACGCGATTTAAATCCGGAAAAATAGTTTCATTTCCTATGTGTAACAATCGCGAAAACCTAAGAACTCGATAAGCAAAAAAGCAACTAAAAACAAAAAAGAGGTACCGATTCTGTTCACATTCTATTATTTTTCCATGTTTTCACAAATAAAGCAGAACTTTTTTAATTCATGTATATTAAAAGAATTTCATAAAACAATTGTCCCAGGCTGCAGGGTATTATCTCGGATTCGAATCGGTATAGTGCACAAGCGACATCCGAAGTGGGTCCGAGTTTTCTAGATTTGTACAGTCTCGGATTCGGAAGGAATACGGATAGGATGCAGTGCGCAAAAGCGCCTTGACCTAATGGATTTATTTCGTAAAATAATCAATAATTGAATGTTCTCTTGAAAAAATATTGAAGTATTTTCTATAATATATATTAAATATTATAAGTATATACTATAAGTATTTTATATAATAAATTTATTTATTTATAAAGAAATTCTTGCGGACTAACCGATTAACCAACACGATAGCAAGATATTGGATTACAATATTAATATAAAATGATAATAATAATAATAAAAGTAACAAACACAAAATAATATTAACAACAATTTGAATTCTAAATAGCTCTACAATAACATAAATTCACAAAATTTACAATAGCGGCTGTGAGTTGCGACCAAGTATCCGCGAACACATCAGCAACCTGGTCAAGAGTGAGGAACTCGTTCAATAAGACAACCGCTCTAGTGGTCGGTGCGTTGAAACCCTGTAAAGTGCGCGTTTTGAGTAAATGAATGTTTATACTGAATTTAGCCCATTCCTATCAGCGATCGGAATTGAGGGAGTTAATTTAGCTAAACTAAAGAATAATGTGGACATTCCCTTTTACAAATCCTAAGACTCCTCAGAACTGAGTACACTTGAATATGCGTGTTATTTATTTAAATTTAAGTACATTGGCAGCTAAAATTATTATGTCCTATTAAGTATTTTCTAAAAACTATAGTCTCAAAAAATAATATTGTAGTTGTGTTTCTATAGGTACTTACGTATTTAAATACTTTAGCCATTTAAAAAATAAACATGAGACATTTTGGAATGCTTAGAAAATAAACAGTAATAAAAGTAACTTTATACGCATTGATGACGAAATTTGTATGTCCGTACTAAGAACACGTTCATACTTTAGGTAAATTAACTCTCTCAATTCCGGTCACTGATTATTATCCATCTGATTTCGATATAACTTTCGTGAGTTGCTGTGCACACGTTTGCGAAATTTCTGAAGTATTAGGACCATTTTAAAATCAGTACTTAAAATAAAATTTTGTCAGTAAATTATAATAAACTTGGCAGAGGCATTGCAACTGGTGACATAGTAAGACAAACATGATTTATATTTAATATTATTACTCATAATTATGCTAATGGTACAATGACCACATGTCAGTATGTGGTGAAAGTGGTAGGGTACTTGATAGGTTTTGAAAATTAAATGGTGTTCGGTTGCAAAAATAGACATGAATTGATGATTATAATCATCAATTTAATCAATTAAATCGTCAATTTCAAAAATTTTAAGAAAGTAATATATGAATTCCAATATTTATTTATTGAATATCATGACTTTTTTACTGCTATTATTATTTTTTGTGAATATACTCTACTAGTTTGTTATTATTATTGATATATGTAAACGTAAAATACGACCAGTCATATCGATGGAATTTTTCTTTAGAGTTTTTCGATTTTAGTTTTTTCGATTTTTGTAAGAAGAAAATTAGTTCGTTGCATACTCTATTTTGACCAGAGTAAGATTGTAATATTTTTTTTTTTTTTATATCGAAATCTTAATTGCGTAATACAAGCTACATAGTAATTATCGTTTCGAAAAAGGGACAGACCATTTACCTGCCGCTTATTTAACCGTTAATCTCTGGTATCAATTGAGACATTGAAAAACAGAATGCAGATCAATTTTCAAAATGTTCATGTGAGTTTTTTTGAAGCAGCAATAGTTATTTGTTATATAAGACTGCAAAGTTGTTGTGTGTCATCAATTTCATTATTTTTTACTCTTGCTTGTATTTATGATTTTGTGTGATTAAGTGATTATTGAAATTATTTTAGTTCTTCGACGAATTAAAATAATTTAATAAACACAATTAGTTATCATTGTCAATTTAATGTCAACAATAATAAGAATGAAATATACCAACGGATTTATATTACATAATGTACGATAAATCGTACGTAGTTGACTGTGTCATTATGTTTTTTTTTTTAAAGAAAAAGTTTGGTGCACCACAGACCATCGTCAAGTTTGAATTTCAAAAACCTTTTCCACGTTGATTTCTAATGAGAAAGAAAGCCTTTCCGGGCTAGTCCGGTGAATAATAAATTTTAGTCAAGCACTGCAAAGAAAAAAAAATATAAAAAAACATAGGTATCACACTCTTCGATAAAGTTCGAAACACGAAAATCCGACATCGGACGAAAGTTCAAGATGTTGCCGTAGGGGACCGTGTTTGTTTTGGTACGTCATCAGCATAGGGCCCAGAGGGACGCTTATCTCCTATGGTGGTGCCGGAGACGGCGGTCACTGGTGGGTTCGCGGTACTGTGCAGTTGCGTTCCCGCGTTGTGTACCAAACTTTATCTATGTCCTTTCAGAGATCAAAACAGAAAGTAAAACAACGAAACATTCTCCTCATTTTCAGAGCCTCGCATGACATGGCCTCAAAACGATCAATTCTGTGAAACAGTGACGCATATATTTCTCCCCTTTGCATTCGATGCGTGAGTTGCTGATCGTTGACTCTCATGAATGATGCAATATTAAATGGCGCCGAAAACGATACACTATATGTGTAGATTGGAATAGTCGGCAACAAAATTGTTTTAACGGTGAAAAATAACTAAAAATAACTTCACTTGTATTTGTATTTATTTATTGTCACATGTACATTGTCAGGTGTTACTAATGTGTTACATTATGATTAGAGTGTAGTACATGACCCTGAATAGGGCACTGCAAGTCAAGATATTGTACACTTGCAAAATGGTACGTTAAGAATTTCTAATATCGATCTTAATTCAATGAAGTTAAGGGGCACATGTAAAACTAAGATTAAAATAAATTTATAATTGCATGTTGTTATTTTTTTTTCAATTGAAACCCATGCCAAATGTGTGGATGTTATCGGTACAGTGAACGTGTAATACTAATGACCGCTCCATATGGATATTTTTGGGTTGTTTGACCGTCCAGATTATTTTGACGATAACTGTACCTCTATGTATTATAAGTCTTGTCTTATGATTGATGATAAATATTAATGTTCATAAGTACATATACGAAAAAAACACATTTTCAGTAAACAGTTGTTTTTACATTTGTCAGAATCTATAGAAGTAGTATGTACCATGTAGTAAATTTTAATTATGTAAAATTCAATTCGATATCATTTTCACTTTACACTAAAATGTGTATGTGGTAATTATTCTTAATTTTTTAATGCTGTGTGCAGTTGTCATTGGAATGCATATTATACATTGGTTATAAATAGTGTTGTTAATTAAGTATTGCTTGTAAAGTTACTCGTCTTGGCAACTGCTTTAATCTATTTGGAAGAATTTAGTCGTTTATTCTCTATAAAGTAAACTTTATATATAAATACCAAATTAAGCCTATGTGTAGTCACGTCACCGATGTACATTCTCCAGCAGAAGCAATTATAGAGTTGAGAAAGTTCTAGCAAAATAAAACAATTAAGAAAGGTGTGTGAGCTAAATAAAGATCGAATATTAAATTTACTTGCATTAAGTAGAATGATTTAACTTTGCTATCGTTCGTATATTCTCTACGTGATCCAATAATAAATCTGAAGGTTTCAGAAA